ACTGGAAGGGGTTGCACAAAGTGCTGTGTCAAGAGGGATTCTGAGGACATGCCTGGATGCTGTGCACAGGAGTGCTATGATTAATTAGTTATGTCTGCTAAGGTCAAGAGATGGGAGAGTAACAAGATAGGTGTCATCTTTTGTATTCTTGTTCCACAGCAATTAAGCTGAAAATCAGGTCTGTTACATGGCTTTTTTTTTTTGTTCCATATTAAAAATCTGAGAAGTTGATAAGCATTTGAGGCAAAATTTAAAGAATTTAATATGAAAAAATAATAACTTTAACTTCCTAATAGAATATGATCCCTTTTTGGAAAACTAGTTCACCTCTTTTATAGAAATCAACATTGTCCACAAAAGATTGTACTTGTACTCCTAATATGTAGTAAACATCTCCAGCTGAAATTGCGACATACTTCAGTTTGAATATATTTTTATTGTATAACAAAAAGATTATAACTGAACACCTTAGATTCTATGAAAATAATCACAACTTTTTGAAGTTTAAGAATATATGTGCTCTCTGCATCTCAGTCTTGTAAGGATCAGATGCACTTTGAACATGTTAAAGCACTGTATGGAAACTACTTTTACTGTTTTCCATTTTTAAAAACTGAAATACTCTTACAAATTAAATAATTTTTACCACCATGCAGTTTTTAATGTTTTGACAAGGTCCCATTGATTCTTTTTTATTTTTTAAAGATTTATTTATTTGTTTGAAAGGCAGAGTTACAGAGAGGCAGAGGCAAAGAGAAAGAGGTCTTCTATCCACTGGTTCACTTCCTAAATGGCCACAACGGCCAGAGCTGAGCAAATTCAAAACCAGGAGCCAGGAGCTTCTTCCAGGTCTTCCATGAGGGTGCAGGGGCCCAAGGACTTGGGCCATCTTCTACTGCTTTCCCAGGCCATAGCAGAGAGCTGGATCAGAAGTGGAGCAGGGACCAGCGCTATGGCATAGGGAGTAAAGCCACCGCCTGCAGTGCCAGCATCCCTTATGGGCGCCGGTTTGAGTCCTGGCTGCTCCACTTCTGGTCCAGCTCTCTGCTGTGGCCTGGGAAAGTAGTAGAAGATGGCCCAATTCATTGGGCCCCTGTATCCACATGAGAGACCCGGAAGAAGCTCCTGGCTCCTGGCTTTGGATTGGCATAGCTTCGGTCATTGCAGCCATCTGTGGAGTGAACCAGCAGATGGAAGACCTCTCTCTCTCTCTCTCTCTCTCTCTCTCTCTGCCTCTCCCTCTCTGTAACTCTGCCTTTCAAATAAATAGATAAATCTTTAAAAAATAAAAAATAGAAAAAGGAAGTGGAGCAGCCAGGACTCGAACCAGCACCAATATGGGATGCCTGCTGGCACTGTGGGTGGCAGCTTTACCAACTACACCACAAAGCCAGCCCCTCCATTTTATTTTATATTTAGTGCATTTGTGCTTAAGCCAGAAGTAATATCTATTATAAATAGTAGCCCTAAGTAAGCCATAGCTGATAGGAATAGTGAACCTTGGCCCTCTGTGTCTTGTGTGCTCAATATAGCAAGTGCTCAATAAATAACTGCGGAATAAATGCAAGTGTAGAATACAACTGGCCTCTGGCTTCTGTGCTCTAATTAGCCACATGCTGGCCCCAATGCAGCTCTAATGTGTCTGAGTTCAAAGGAAGGGCCAGGCTAGCTGAGTCTGTTCTCTTTGATGAGGGAGGTAAAATCTTCCCCAAAACAATCACTCAGAAATCTTTTGCTTATTCCTCTTTGACCACCCGCAGCTTCCACAGACATTGGACTGGGTCCTGTTGCTTCAAACAGATTAAGAGATTCTACTAGTGTGGAAGACATGGAGAGATGAATGTGGGGTAGGCAACTAATGACGTCTGTAAGAAAAAAAAAAGCAACATAAATAAGCAACAGTTCTGGTCCTCTGAGAGTTGGAGACCATGGGAATCTGGACCACGATGGGAACAGTAACCCTTCCCAATGAACATGAGCTCTGGTCCCGCAGTCCATCACCTCCACCCCAGGCTAAGCACAGATGTCCCTGCAAAAGACCTGTTAAGTCTGAGGATGGGGTCTTAGTTTTAGATGTAAATCTGTATGCTCTGGCTGGAGAGGAAGACTGACTTACGCAGAGGATCCAGAATGATTACAGCTGAACAATGCCTGAGAAGTCTCGTGGCTTCCATTTGAAGGCAGACTGTGCCTAAACTGCCCAGAACAAACAAATTGAGTCTCTGATGCATTTTCAGCAAGGTGGCTCTCCTGGCCAAGTGTTCCGTGTGATGCCGATAGTCTTGCTGAATTTTCTCTGACTGCCCTACGAGGGCTGCCACAGGCTCCTCTGTGGCTCTCGCTTGCCCCTGCAGAATATTCTATCCCACGAGATCTCGCTCACCCAGCAATGACCCTTGCCACTCTAACCTTCCTGCAAGCTCCTTGCCTCTGACCACAAGAACTAAACAGTCTCATCCACTGCCCCACAAAGGCTCCAAACACTGGGCCCGAGGGGTAGCTAATTGGTTTTTTACAAGCCGACGGTAATCCAGACATTTAAATATTGATGTTCATTTCTGGGTAGCTATAAACACAAAAGGGGGAAAAGAACATGTTTAACTGCTTCCTCTCATTCAACCTCACCATGATAATGGTCTCAAGTCAATAAGCCCAAGTTTATAAAGACGAGTTCCATCTGAATGCAAAGGAATGTTCCAGTGTGCTCTGCCTGACCATGACAGAATGGTCCACGCACCTGGTGTTGTCCACTCAGTTCACCCAGAACCCTCTTCCCCTAGCATTTTAGGGTGGGAGGAGGGCTGTAGGCATCCTGAGTCTTAGGCTGAAGGAAAAATTAAGCAAACTAGATTCGGTGCCTAAAGAAGCATTTCCCAGTAGGTGGAAGCCCCTGACATTCACCTCCAGATTGACCGGGAGGCCTTGGGCCACTTTCTTCCTCTTCTTAAAGCACAGCTGTGAGGGGAGACACAGGTGGGGACTTGAGGTGCCAGGGGCAGACCACAGGCCAATACGTCCAAGAAGGGGCTACGCTGCCATTTTATCCCTTTCCCACTCCTGCCACACCTCTTTCAGAGAGTCCCTCCGTGTTGTGAGCCAAACCCTAAAGCACTTGTCTATATGCCCCTGACATCAGCTCATTTTATTCTCGTATAATTTTATATTATTTCTTGAAAATGCGCATGAAGAAGCAGACTAGCACTTATTCCAGTGCTGATACTCCTATCTTCACATGTATATTTGACTGTTATCACTAAAGGCTTATAATCCACCCATGGCATCTTTCTAAACCAGGACCAAGGAATACTATTAGGATGTTATAACAGGCACTGGCATTGGGGTACAGCAGGTGAAGCTGCTGTCTATAATGCTGGCATCCCATAGCAGCGTGCCAGTTCCAGTCCCAGATGCCCTACTTCTCATCCAGCTTCATGCTGACACACCTGGGAAGGTGGTGAGTGTTGACTCAATTACTTAGGCCCCTGCCATCCTTGTGGAAGATCCAGGTGGAGTTCCTGGCTCCTAGCTCCAGCCCGACCCAAATCTGCTGATGTGTGTATTTGGACAGAAGGTTGATCTCTCCCGTCTTTTTCAAATAAAACTTTAAAAAAGTATAATAGTCTTAATAATGGTAGTACCCTTTGGTTCAATGAAAACACCATTAATATTAAAATACAGGTCATAGAGTCAAAATTTGCTAATTTATGCATAATTGAAAGTTGGTCTCTTTCTCGTACATTTCTATATTAATGGGCACCTTGTATTATATTTCCATAGGCCTCATATTATCATTCTTTAGATTCTGGACTTCTTGAGAGCAGTGCCTTCATTACTTAGAGGTCCTGGAGTCACACATCCACTTATATTACCAACCAGAAACTGATAGCACAGTTCCTTTCATTTTCCTCTTAACTGATAAATAGCCACCTAGTTGGGTATCAAGGAAAAAAGAAAAAACTAAATTTATTTTACCAACCCAGAATTTAATTTTTAGTGTTCTATCTAAGTAATTGAAGAAATGTGCAGTCTTTCAGATTTCTGCTTTTGCTCCCTGTTTTCCAAAATGGTCTCTGGGCCCATTGGTAGAGGTGGGGCTTATGTGACTTTTTGGCGGGAATGGGGAGTAGGAGCTCCAGAATAGCAGAGGCTACTCTGAACTCCTGGGGGAATCTTTTACCACAGAAGATCCCTGAGCTGGCAAACTAATGACCACAAAAGGAGGATTAGTGGCTCTCCTTCTAGAAGGTTCTACTGAGAACAGATCCTGGAGCCTAGAGCTCATGGTGATCAGTTATCTCTTTCCACTTGATCTGGAGCTAGTTATCTCCCTGATGACCTAGTCCAACATTGGCCCTTGCTGCTGTTGAGGACCACCAATGGGTCTTGGCCCAGCCTATCTGCCCAGCAGTGTTCCACTGACTCAGTAAACTGCTCTCCTTCTAGAAAGTTCTTTCCAGATTCTCACTTAATTTCCAGACCCTCTTTATATCTTATGGGTCTCATTCATGCAGCTAGCTACTTGGGAGGTCCACCCTGTGTTCACCTAATGGGTAAGTGTGAGCTTATTTTGATGTGGTTATTCCTGGTTGCAGAGGATCAGTCTTCAAAGCTCTGCCTTCACAGAGCTCCCAGTGTTACGGAGGGCAAGAACCTCTATTTTCACCTCCTTCCTCAACACCCTCCTGTTGTGTGGGATCTAAAATGCCACGGGTTTTAAGATGCACCATTGTTCCATGCACCACTACAAAAGTGCCTAGGAAGCTATGACACATTCTGAAGCATCCTGATTTCAGCAATGGAAAGTGTGAAAATAAGTCTATGAGGGGTCTTCATTAAGTTCATGGAAAACCCATCACGGCTTTCAAAAATACGAAATAAATGCTTAATTCCATTTTTCCATAATTTTTTTGAAATCAGTGAAATGATTTCTGTGTCTAACATATATTCTGCCCAAAGAACATTGACCCCAAGAAGAAGATGGTGGCCTGACCACAACTCACCTTCCTCTCACCTCCTTTTCTCCACAATCCCTCAGGCTAAGAGGAATAGGCTTGGTTTTTGTTTTTTTTTTTTTTCTTGTGATTGTTTCCTCCTGCTACCTCAGGGCAGCAAGCTTCACTGCCTCACTTCTCTCCTGTGGAAGAAAAGCTTCTAATCAGCCATGCTCAGCTCTTTTCAAAAAAGAAGTTTATTTATCTTTACATATTTTAAAGGCAGAGTGACACACACACACACACACACACACACACAGCACTTACACCTGTTGGTTCACTCCCCAAATGCCTGCTAAAGCCAAGTCTGGATCAAAGTGGAGCCAAGAGTTGAAACTCAATCTAGGTCTCCCACCTAAGTGGCAGGGACCCAAGTACTGAGCCATCATTCCCTGCTGGCTCCCAGAGTGTGCATTAGCAAGAAGCTGGATTGGAAGCAGAGGTGGGGTATCCTATTGTGGCAGCTTAACCTGCTGTGCCTTAATGCCTGCTCCCATACCTCATTCTTGATACAATGATATGGTAGTAGAAAGTCTGTTCTGCTTTCACAAAACTTGGCCTTCAAGACTAGATTACCTTCTAACAAAATCTCCTTTTGGATAAGGGAAATTGAATATTAACATTCCATCTACCCTGTCTAAACCATTTCTGTAGCAATCGTGAGCTCTCTGGAGCATGCTCCTCGGATTCCTCTGGCAGAACGGGGAGTTCAGTTCAGGAATATACAGAACAAACAAACAAAAACACATTAAAATATTACAGAAACATTACACCCTGTTTTATTTCTGTCTTCCCATACGGCCTTGCATGGAAAAATGGGCAAAAGTGTCAGACAGTAAATTCCAGCTGAAAACAAAGAGTGTGCCTACTTCTACCATTTCCTTCAGTTCTTTTTGTGCTTAACTCTGAAGGCAGAATTTATGTCATTGACTTTCTTGGTAATTTCACACAGAAAAAGCTACATCAGATCTTGTTTTCAAGGAACCTGCCAAGGGTGCTGAGTTGGTAGTTGACTTCTTTGTTCTTTGCAAAATGATAATTTCTCTCCCACCAAAAATAACCTCAAAGACCTATATATTCATGTAATTCTCCATGTTGCTATCTCTGGATAAGGGGTGAACATTTGTTACTTTTTGCTCTTCTAGTATTAATATCTCATCAGAACAGTGGTTACACATGCAAATTGTTATTATTATCCTGCACGAATGTGACTTTTTCAGCATGGTTTTGGAGCAGGCCACAAAAGAAATTCCAGAGGCAGGACTACTGTAATGTACAAGTTTTGTGCCACACTAAGACTGTTGCTTCCTCATATTCTTCTTCTCCTTCTTTTTTAAGATTCATTTTATTTATTTTACAGGCAGAGTGACAGAGAGAGGGGGAGAGAAAGAACGACATCCTCCATCCACTGGTTCATTCCCGGGGCTAGAGCTCCATCTAAGTTCCCCATGTAGTGTAAAGGGGCCCATGTACATCCCAGGTGCATTAGCAGAGAGCTGGATCAGAAGCGGAGCAGCAGGGACATGAACCTGCACTCTGATACGAATGCTAGAGTCACAAGTGGCAATTTAACTAGCTGCAGCACAACACCTGCCACATGATACATTTTTTAGTTTGAGGCAGAGAGACAGAGGGAGTCTCTCTCTCTCTCTCTCGCTCGCTCGCTCGCTCTCTCTCTCAGTCCAGGTTTCCCATGTAGGTGGCAGGGACCACCCCCTGTTGCCTCCCAAAGTGCCAATGAGCAGGAAGCTTAAATTGGGAGGGGAGCTGGAACTTGCACTCAGGCAGTCCAGTGTGAGATGGAGTCTTACCTGCTAGGCCAACCCCCTGACATTCTACGACAAGAAACACTCCTGAGACGCATGGTAACAGGGGTGCCTTTTTGGCCTGGCCTAGGCTGCCTGCAGCAGGAACTGTGACTTCACAAGAAATTGGCTCCTTGCTAGTATGTCCCAATATGCAGCCAGGCAGGGTGTCAGTCACAGAATAAAGGAACCAGAAGATTTTCTGCAATTTCTGTCTTTTTTTTTTTTTTTTTTTTTTTTTTGACAGGCAGAGTGGAGAGTGAGAGAGAGAGAGACAGAGAGAAAGGTCTTCCTTTTGCCGTTGGTTCACCCTCCAATGGCCGCCACCGCCGGCGCGCTGAGGCCGGCGCACCGTGCTGATCCAATGGCAGGAGCCAGGTGCTTCTCCTGGTCTCCCATGGGGTGCAGGGCCCAAGTACTTGGGCCATCCTCCACTGCACTCCCTGGCCACAGCAGAGAGCTGGCCTGGAAGAGGGGCTACCGGGACAGAATCTGGCGCCCCAACCGGGACTAGAACCCGCTGTGCCGGTGCTGCTAGGTGGAGGATTAGCCTATTGAGCTGCGCCGGCTGCAATTTCTGTCTTTAGCTCTGCACCCTAATTTTACCCCTTTGTATGCCAAACCAGCACCCCCACTTCCCCATGATGTATCTGAGTTTTCTGCACCATGAAGACGCCACAATGAACACCTGCATACAGACATGGACACCCTATGATTCACACACACACACACACACACACACATGAACACACACTGAACCTTCCCAGAAGACATCACACACACACACACACACACTGAACCTTCCCAGAGGACATCACACACACACACACACACACACACACTGAACCTTCCCAGAGGACATCACACACACACGCACACACACACACACAAACACTGAACCTTCCCAGAGGACATCACTCACACACACACACACACACACACACACTGAACCTTCCCAGAGGACATCACACACACACACACACACACCCTGAACCTTCCCAGAGGACATCACTCACACACACACACACACACACATACACTGAGCCTTCCTAGAGGACATCACACACACACACACACACACACACACACTGAACCTTCCCAGAGGACATCACACACACACACACACACACACACACTAAGCCTTCCCAGAGGACATCACACACACACACACACACACACACTGAGCCTTCCCAGAGGACATCACTCACAAACACACACAGACACACACACTGAGCCTTCCTAGAGGACATCACACACACACACACACACACACTGAACCTTCCCAGAGGACATCACACACACACACACACACACACACCCTGAACCTTCCCATAGGACATCACTCACACACACACACACACACACACTGAACCTTCCCAGAGGACATCACTCACACACACACACACACACACACACTGAACCTTCCCAAAGGACATCACTCACAAACACACACACACACACACACACTGAACCTTCCTCCCAGAGGACATCACTCACACACACTCACAGACACACACATACACTGAACCTTCCCAGAGGACATCACACACACACACACACACACACACACACTGAACCTTCCCAGAGGACATCACTCACACACACACACACACACATACACTGAACCTTCCCAGAGGACATCACTCACACACACACACACACCCTGAACCTTCCCAGAGGACATCACTCACTCACACACACACACACACACACACACACACTGAACCTTCCCAGAGGACATCACACACACACACACACACACACACATTGAACCTTCCCAGAGGACATCACTCACACACACACACACACACACACTCTGCACCTTCCCAGAGGAAATCACTCACACACACACACACACACACACACACTGAACCTTCCCAGAGGACATCACACACACACACACACACACACTCTGAACCTTCCCAGAGGACATCACTCACACACACACACACACACACACACTGAACCTTCCCAGAGGACATCACACACACACACACACACACACTCTGAACCTTCCCAGAGGACATCACTCACACACACACACACACACACACTGAACCTTCCCAGAGGACATCACTCACACACACACACACACACACTCTGAACCTTCCCAGAGGACATCACACACACACACACACACACACACACTGAACCTTCCCAGAGGACATCACTCACACACACACACACACACACACTGAACCTTCCCAGAGGACATCACACACACACACACACACACACACACACTGAACCTTCCCAGAGGACATCACACACACACACACACACACACACACACACATTGAACCTTCCCAGAGGACATCACTCACACACACACACACACACACACTCTGCACCTTCCCAGAGGAAATCACTCACACACACACACACACACACACACACTGAACCTTCCCAGAGGACATCACACACACACACACACACACACTCTGAACCTTCCCAGAGGACATCACTCACACACACACACACACACACACACACACTGAACCTTCCCAGAGGACATCACTCACACATACACACACACACACACACTGAACCTTCCCAGAGGACATCACTCACACACACACACACACACACACACTCTGAACCTTCCCAGAGGACATCACTCACTCACACACACACACACACTGAACCTTCCCAGAGGACATCACTCACACACACACACACACACACTCTGAACCTTCCCAGAGGACATCACACACACACACACACACACACACACACACTGAACCTTCCCAGAGGACATCACTCACACACACACACACACACACACTGAACCTTCCCAGAGGACATCACACACACACACACACACACACACACACACTGAACCTCTACCACATCTGTACTTTCAACTAAGGAACCCCCCCACCCCATAAAGAGGCCCACTAAACCGAGCAGCTGCCTCTGTGTCTTCACGGATGCAGCCCCCACTCTGCCTTCCCATGTGGGCAGCGTTCTCTCTCACTGCCCTCTGATGGTGAGCATTCCTCCTCACGGATGTGCCCACACTCACTCCTGAATGTGCACTCCCTCTCTCCCGAGTGAACCTGCTCCCATAATTGCACCCTTCTTGGGTCCCTGCTTTGAATTCTTATCTCACGCAGGGGCAAGAGTCTAGAATAAAACAGCCGCAGGGGAAACAAATGCCCACAACATCAAGTCAGTGATGACAAAATCTAAATATAATTCTAAAGAACTGGCAGGCCAGTAGTTAATAGGACTAGACGTTTTCAAAAGCAATCACCATACAAGGGTGCTCCAGAGAGTTCATGCAAGAATGAAAAGAAAATTTTATTTTAATGCAAAAAATGTTGAAATC